TGCTGCTGCCATCATCATCCGTCATCATTTCTGCTACACTGGCAGGGCTAGGGGCCAGGACTCTGCTCTTCAGGTTTTTGGGGGATGTTGCTAACTCCGGGACCGATAACAGGCACCACCCGCAGTATATGTGCTCAATGTGAGGTCTCGCAGCAAGCTATCAAGTACGGTGCATTTCTCGGCTTTTAAAAAAACGCTATGCGTCGCCAGGTGTTTCATCAGATTCGAGGAGTTACCTCCTTTGCACAGTATCACCTTAAAGCACTTGTTGCTGGCTGCTGAGTTTGCATCTTTTGCTGTGAAGTACAGCCAGACTTTTGACCGCTTTGCCTTGGGCGTGTTTAATCTGTATTTCTGCTCTAAAAGAATGTACGTACCTGGACCCGCCTACTACGTTTGCAAAGGTAAAATGATTGGCTAGAATCCAAAGTGTATGACATCTCAGTTAAAAAAAAAAAAAGCACCGAAGCACAGAACTGGTGCCATAATGGCACCGGATACCGGTACCCATCCCTACTGGTCAGGATGATCACTTTTGTTGTAGTGTACATCAGCTGGTTGGTTTCAGTGATGGTCACTGTAGGGATTGTCCCTGATGCCGCATTCACATCTTCTAGTAGACTTTAAGAGGATATTTCACACATTGTCCTTTTTCATTAGTACGTACTCGGCTCGACTCAATGCAACTTGACTTGACACAGTTTTAGTTGTTTTCCATTACAAATAAGTATTACTTCATGTGCTTGGGTTGATATAGCAACGCGGCTGAAAGACCTGTACCATTATTGGTATCAGACACAAATAATACAACAAAGGAGGATGTTGAGGGCATGGTGTGCCTGCTGCTCGATGTTTGCCATTTTGTCAGACTCTAGGATCACGATGTTAGTTTTTTTGCAAACATTTCGTTGTTATCAGGTTTCAAAAATGTGGGTTTTGATTTTTGTGAAGGAGACACTCTTGTAACTCATCGAGTGATGCCACTCACTGGCCACTGTGTGGCATGCAGTCTGTTCCATCCATCCGTGGTTCGGGCATCCTTGTCAGATGCCTGAACCACCTCAACTGGCTCCTTTCGATGTGGAGGAGCAGCGGCTCTACTCTGAGCCCCTCCCGGCCACTTGTATGCGCGATCTT